GTGCCCTGTGTTTTTTTTTGTTTTTTTTTTTGTATCAAGTATTGTTTGTAGAACAGTTCTAATGTAATATCGGGCCCTTGTAAAACATACATTGCTCTGTTCAATCCGTTTCTGTCTGTATGCGCTTTCTAGCAGTTAATAACACTTAACTATACATTTGTGTGGCACTTTCTAGTTTAGGTGTACTGACTTGGTCCTCCATTTCACTATCTTTTTTTAAACAATGAAACATATGATCTTAAAAGCTACACCGGATTTTCTGGGGCAAATCGTCCCCCATCATCCTTGGTTCTTACATCCACGAGTGTCCTCAGCATTTTTTTAATGGTTAACATAATTTCTGGTTTTGTTGTTTTTAATCGAACCTACTGAGAGAGCATGTCCTTTATTGTACTTATATTGTTGTACTTAAAAAGCAAAACGTTGGTTTCTTACATCACGGTATTCCTACCAGCTGAAAGCTCTTACTGTTCTGTAAATCTTTCAAATAGACTAAACAGGGCTTTATATATCATGTATGCATTAACATGTTTGCCTTAAATAATAGAAATATCTTCTCTATCTTTGGAAGAATATGCAGATATATGCAAGAAATGTATTTGCCATTCTGTGTTTGGAAACTGTGTCCCTTTAATGTTGGAGGCTTAAAACTCCCATGATTCTTAAAGCCTTCTCGTCATTCTTTGAAGTTCTGAATTAGCCTTTATCTCCATTATGAATGCTACCATGTAAAAACATTTTCTTTCAACCATTTCCCAAAGCAGATGGAGAACATATGCCAAGATGTAAAGTCCATCTATGAAACATGCCGATCACTGAACACTGAAACATCTGTCAGAACGTTGCACAAGCAGTTCTTTAAAACACACTTTCAAGGCAGTATATAGAAATTGCAAGGTGTACTCTTGCGCCACAGAAGAATCAATGTTTGTGCAAAACATAGACTAAATAAATAATAAAATAACTGATAAATCCCATAAAGACCAAGCTTATTTAGATTTTTATGGCTAAGAGGGTTATCCTGTCACCCAAAGCCCCAGTGTGTCCCTCAGTTTTAAAGTGTTACAGAAAAGAGAACATGCTTAAGACTTTGATACAAGCACATCAGTGCTGCTGTTTGATTCCACAGAGCATCAAAGTACATTTTCAAAGGCAGTTGACGTTTCAGTCCCACTTGGGACTTCTCTCAAGACATAATACTCCAGGTAAACGAGGTGAGTAATAGGAATGAGGTATAGCCCATCCCATTGAATACAGAATCTACGTAGTTGCCATTGGGATTGGGGAGGCAGAGCTCAAGATGCAGTAACTGAGAGGTGCAATGTAACAGGCAAAGAGAATCCCAAGGGGTAGTCAGGTCCAGGAAAAGTGAAAGGAAAATGTACTTGCACACTATCCCAAATCCCTATGTACATTTAAATAACTGGAGGTTTTTTAGTATCACTCCAATGGCCATTTAAGTGTAAACTCATCTGCCACGTCAAGGCAAAACAATTCACCTTGCTGTTTTCAGCTAGAAGGTAAAATCTCTAATAAGACAAGAGGGGTATTTTTCTAAACCCATACACACTTATTACTGTATTGGGGCTGATATTATAGTGTACTATAGTCATTGGTGCCGCCCAGGAGTAGTGGGCGTTTGAGCGCAGATCAAGCAAAAGGTTGATCCAGGGAGCTAAGGGTTCACAAGAAAGAAAACAAGCAGAAGGGTCAATAACTAGTTCAGAAGAGAACAGCAATAACACAGCTCTTTACAAAGCACTTCAACATCTGAGCAATCATACAGTGCCTGGAGCAGCCTTATACGTGGGTGTCTGGCATATACCTCCTTCATCATAACTGCATCACCAACATGATGCCTACAATGGTCTACCCACCTCTGCTATATCATGCACCTTGTCGGACGCGAGTGCCTCTATGGCATTAATTGTTTACGTGGTCATCGCTGACCACTTCATAGCCCCATGGGAAGATGATACCAGTGCCCAGTATAATGCTAAATGCCTATATGGAGATATGCAAAATTATTTACAAATATAAATCAAAGCATGGAGCACAAATCCAAATAAATGTTATGTAAAAGAGGGTAGACCAAACATACAATGAGTATACTTCCAAGGGAATCTGCATGTGACTGTATATAATGGTCTGCCAGCTGCTCTGTTACATATAAAAAATGTGTAACACACTTATTCCACTCTTTTCAGTGTCTGAATGGACAACACAGTGCCATATTAGAGATCTGCCCATTTAAGTTCTTTAAACTTAGAATAATGATGCTGGGTCTCTTTTCTATTTTGGGGCTTTTCATCAGCACTCAAATTCACACTAACTCACATCGGTATGCCATATTCAGAAAACCTGGTATATATTTTGTTGAGAGTATTATTGTTGTGCACCTCAATAAGATTTAAAATAGTTTGCCGTGCCCAGTACTGTAATAACACAATGTACTCTCATGCTGGCATCCCAGGTCATTACAGTAAAATAATAGACTTAGGGGGAAACTTATAGAGTACTCTCATTAAACGTTACAGTTTTCTATAACTCCCATCACTCCCAGAGTCACAAGAACACAGTATATTGAAGGCATATATCCTCTAGCCCTTAATACCCCTAACCATAAGTCCCTACAACCTTAAATCCTCAAACCCTGAATCCTCTAACCCTACTCCTAAACATTATGACATCACTAGGTCACAGCAAGTAGGAGTAGTAAGAGCCATGCTGATTATTATGCCTGTGCTTAATAAATTTACCCTTCGGTGTCAGAGGGGAGATCCGGATATACAGTTGTAAACAAAATCAGTCAACCGCCATTGAAAATTAGGTTTATTGTAAAAATTTACAGACTTTCAGCAGTTTGCAAAAAACTAATCAAACAAAAACTATTGAAATAGCTCAACACAATGAATGCTTTAAGTGTTTGCCCCAAATTCAACTGAAAAGGCACCTTAGAGACTTCTCTACACCATCTAGACTTAGAGCATATAGAGTGGCAACCTTTAAAGATGTGTTATTAGGAAGCATGGGAAAATCCACTATGCATTATGTCTCCTTAGGATGTTATAGAATTTCATGTATTTGTATAGCCTTCTTTCACATGGTGTTCGTATCAGGAGTTGGGATAAGGTTTTGCATTTTCATATAAAGTTAGATATAGTTCCAACTTAATGTTTGCTGTATCTGCTAGTTGGAATAAATAGTTATTGTACCAGTAGTTTATTCTAGGTTCTATTACTATTTCCTTTTTTTCCCTCTTTTGTACATTCTTACTGTCAATTTTCCTTTCTGTTCTCATGTGCTATGGAGATCTCCCTCACTATAGAGTATGATTATGTACTGTCTGTAGAAAATATGATGGGCTTTATAACAATCTATGTTATCTTTATGTTTGATTTCTATGTTTGATTTATTCTATGAACATTATAGTTCCCCAGTTCATTTGTGCCTGTTTTTATTATTATTATTATTTTTATTGGTTGCTAGGAAGCTGCTTTCCCTAGCAACATGCTCCCAATGATGCCGCCGGCTGGTCGCTCACGTGATGACGTCATGACGCCGGCGTCACGTGATGACGTCACTGACGTACGTCCTGATGCCGGCCGAACCCACGTGGACTCCAGACCGAGCTGACAGGGAGACACAATCAATTTGGTGGTGGGTAAGTTGATTACTAATATGTATTTTACTATATATTGAAGATTTGAATTCTTATGTATTAATCCTGATGAAAGTCTGTGGTTAACAGACTGAAACGTTGATTTTTTTTGTACAAGCTCATTAAAAGTTAAGTTTTATTTTTCTACAGTCCTGAGAGTGCTATCTCATTCCTCTTTTTTCTATTTTGCTGGATAAGCACCGGGCATTTAAATATGTTTTGATACATGGAGTGCAAGATTTTTTCTTTGGTTATATATATATATATATATATATATTACAGTAAGCACACAAGCTCACTGACATGCGCAAATAGGCTTACTGACAGATAAAACTCTCTGACTCACACACAAGCTTACTACAGACAAACTCACTTGTATAAACAGAAGGCTCACTGCAAAGAAGTTCAGGGACACACACAAGCTCACTAAAGACAAGCTCACTGACACACACATGCTCACTAAATAGAAGCTCACTGACACACACAAGCAGTACCATTTTAACAGAGCTAAGGGCCCCTGGGCAAAGCAATGCACTGGGGCCCTTCCTACACAACATCTCACAGGAATTTTAATTATTGATAGACTGCGGAGTCCACACACACACACACAGACTGCTGAGTACATACACACACACACACACACACACACAGACTGCTGAGTCCATACACACACACACACACACACACACACACACACTGCTGAGTCCATACATACACACACATAGACTGCTGAGTCCATGCACACACACACAGACTGTTGAGTCCATGCACACACACACAGACTGCTGAGTCCATGCACACACACACAGACTACTGAGTCCATGCACACACATCAGACTGTTGAGTCCATGTACACACACAGACTGTTGAGTCCATGCACACACACACGTTGATCTATGCACACACACACAGACATCTGCTGAGTCCATACACAATATAGACTCCTGCTGAGTCCATGTACACACACACACACAGACTGAGTCCATGCACACACACAGTAGACTGCTGAGTCCATGCACACACACAGACTGCTGAGTCCATACACACACACAGATTGCTGAGTCCACACACACACACACACATACACACACACAGACTGCTATGTCCATACACACAGACAGACTGCTGAGTCCATGCATACACACACAAACTCTGCTGAGTCCATACTCACACACACAAACACACACACACAGACTGCCGAGTCCACACATACACACACACACACAGACTGCTGAGTCC